ACACACACACATACAAAAGCACTAATCAGTTTATATATATATATATGTGTGTGTGTGTGAGTGCTAACTGAATACAATCTAAATATGTTTATGTAATTGAAAAGCAAACGTTTTGCTGAAAACATTAAGCAAAACATAGCAGCAAAGTATGCCACCAACATATGAGAATGGTGAGGGGGTGCCGCCTCCCTAGATTCGCACACAAAATTTCTATATGCCAGCGTGAACTACATACGAATATTTGTGGGTATTTGTGTGCATTTGTGTGTATGTGTGTGTGTGTGTGGGTTTATATATTGGCCGCCTGGGTTGTATATAAACATCGTTGCCAAATTGTGAGCGCACGGGGCGTATGATAAACGTGCCATATATTTTGGCAGATTTTTGAATAACAGGCCAAGCAGAAAAATCGGTGGCAGCCGAAATAAAATAAAGCACTTCAATGCGAGCTCTCGCCAAAACAGACTATTCATATCTTTGTTTATTTTTTTGCCACATATTCAACGATATTAATCAATTTAATGGCTTCCCTCGATTTGAATCTAGCCTGACCATCATACGCGCATAGCTCATGTAATTTACACCCATCTTATCGGTATTTATTTACTTAACTTCAAACACTTTGACCTGCCGCAATCAAAAGTCTAAAACTCTTTCTACTTACAATATCCATATATTTGCACACTAGACAGCGTTAATAACAACAACAAACAATTTCATTGCTCGCCATAAACTTCCGTTGCCTTTTGCGGATATCTATTGAAATTTATTTCAATTACATTTGTGCCCGCTACCAACAACAACAGCAACAGGCAGAAAGAGTGAAGCAAAAGAGCAGAAATCCCAAAATAAATTCAATTTACAAAATGTTTTTTCGTAGTTTGTGCCTCCACTCCCTCCCGACCAACCAATTTTACGCAGCTCACGCACAGTGGCTTCTAATACTCGTACAGTCCAATTGAATTCAAGTTATAAAGTTCAAATTATATTTTAAACTACCAGTTAACTTTTAAATACAACAGTGGACATTTTGTGGCAATGCAAACAAGTCCGATTGAACAATTTTCAGATTATAATTACCTCCCCTACCATGGAAATGAAATCAAATCAATACCTCAGGTGAGGTTGATATTTTTCTTATGTTTCCAGAACAATGACTGCCATTATAAATTAAATTAAAATTGTTAACACTAGCTAACTTAAAATAGAAATACATTTTGGCTAAAACAAATTTTAGTTACATGTATTTTGTAATTTTCACAGAGACTTCAATAACTTATCCTTCAGCTATGGGAGTTGCATTAATTTTTTTTGTATATCGAAATATTTTAAATTATTATTCTTTGTTTCATTACATATACGTACATCCTTGACATACACCCGTACCATACATATTTTTATATGTGATATTTCAAATTAAACGCCAACAACATTAAATATTAATATGCCTTAAAAAAGATAATGCACAATTTAACAATTAATTAAACAGTTTTAAATGAAATTAAATATTTTGAGCAAGCCACGTAACAGATCTTATTTCTCCCAGTTGCTTATGGGTTTTCCCAAAATTTAATGAACTGTAACATTTACTTGGGGGTGCCTCAAGCAATTACATTTTAATATTGCACATATTGCTAATTCAATTTTGAAATTATTAGAGAATAAATTAAATTGATCAGTCCAAGTAATAGTCGCTCTAAAAAGTAGATACCCAAACGAAATGGTATTATATATAATTAGTATGATGTTTCTACTTCTACATGAATCTTAATTCAATGAGCTGGAAATATTTATTAAGAGCAGTCTTACGCTGTATTTTGAAGCAATGTTTCTTGCATGTATTGGAATTCATAAAAAAATATATATGTACATAGTAATGTCAATCTAACCGTAATACTGCTACTATTCCATGCTGGTGCTTCAAGTTCTTTTCTGTATTAAAAAATATTAATTAATTATGAAAAGGTGTAAGAAAAATCACAAATGAGCTTAATAATATCGAACTGAGGCCGAACCATATTCAACATGCTACATTTTAATTTGTGGCCACTGTGCAACGCACAGTCGCTGCCTAAACGCCAGATGCCAAGGGGTTGTTGCTACTGCCAAGCAGCGTAGTCGCCATCGCCATCACCATCGCCATTGCCAGCGTCTTCGATGTGTCTGCTGTGTGTGTGTTTGTGTGTGCTGCTGGCAAATCAATGAGGAAATTTGCAAATTGAGTTAATTCAACGCATTGTTGGCCAAAATGTTAGACAATGTTTTAAGAGTGGAGGGGTGTTGTTGCTGTTGTTGTTGTCTGGCGTACATGCAAATGAAAGTGGCGCTGGGCATTCAGGATTTCAGCTATGCGATTAGTTATGCTACTCCAGGCGAGTGAAGGCGATACGGAGAGCCAAGCTCTTAGCTGTTTACACAACTAATTTGCCGATTGCTTGCTGTTTGTTGATTTGCATAACCTAATTATTAATGTAAAACAAACTGACGGCTGTTTATTTACGCAAAAGTTTCACGCACAGTTTTCAAACATAAATAAGCAATTAGTGTACATTAATTTTCATTTAAAACGAATATTGCACCAAAGTCAATAAAGTCGCGGCCGATTCCCATTCAATATCGCTCATAATTCCAAAATTGGCAGCTGACATTTAGGCCATCATTCAGCTGTCCCTTCCCGTTTCATGGGTACGCGTACAACGAAACGCGCGACACATTTTTCGCGAGTGAGCAGCAGCAGCGTCACTTGTTGGCCCAGTTGTTACCAATTATCAGCATCTACTGTGACTTGGACTGTGACAGTCACCCACACACCTACCAACAGTTTTGGCCATTTCCGCCGTTCTTGCGCTTCTTGTGACTTTTCATTTATTTCCTCATTCATTTTAATTTGCCAATCATTTGCGCAATTTGTGCTTTCGTCGCTGCCGTTGTTAATGCTATAATAAATAAATATATTGTAGTGTACTATATAAAATTATCCATCATAAATAATTGTGAAATTACTGTAATTATCGCGGATTGCATGCCATTTTTTAATGCGTCTCTACAATGCACGGAAATTAATTGTGGCACAATTATTACAATTAATTAACGTTGAGTGTTTGGCAAAGTGAGCGGTGAAGGTAGTAAGAGGTAATCAATGATTAATTTACAAAAACAAAAAAAGTTTAAAACAGTAAAAAAGCACTTTAAAGTGTAATGTTTAAACGGGTAACAAATCAGAAGAAAGAAACAACGATTTATTTACCCATTATAGTTCTTCAGCATTGATAAAAACCGCATTTAATTTCAATTTTGTAAATAACGAATACAAGATGTTAATAAACATTTAATTGGTTTTTTTCTCTATCACTTACAATTTTATAAGAACTTTTGAAGCTTTACATTCAAAACCAACTCTACTCTTATTAAGAGTGAGAATTATGATCTTCGAGTCTCCTGTTTCTACTTTTATATTTTCAAATTTTCAAAATGGTAAAATTGTTTATTTGAAAATAGTTGGATTAATATCTGCGAGGAAAGGTCTCTTTCCTTTGACAATATTACCAATCGGAATGCGAACACCATTGAGTTTCGATTGAGATTCGTTTTTTTTCAATGACTGCCACTGTTTTCACTGCTTCAGTTCTTTTCCTCAAAAGTAAATTTAAAATGTTCAACATTGCTTATCGATGGTGCTGCCTCAGAAATTTGTCCATCATACTATATAGTGGCAAACGAGGTGAATTTAATCGAGAACTATATGATTGTATTTTGTCTTTGTCCCATTTTCCCATATAACTTTAATGTTTGCAATTATTGTCCCACCATAAAAAAGATCCTGGATACGCCCGTGTATAAATCAAATGAATTCTCTTGGGTTATTGGCATTAGTATGTGGCAAGAGATTATTAACAAGTTTAAACAAGGCTTTAAAATTGGCTGTGTAAAATGAATAACTTATAGTTTTCTTTGATGAAGTTTGGATTGGAATCTTGGTCGACAAGAGTAAACTATTTGTTTTTATGTAATTTCCGCAAAGGCTGGAACTTTATTCAACTTTCAAATTATATTCATTTGCCATGTTTTCTACTAAGTATGTAGGAGGGAATATTTGGATTAATATACAGGTATACATATAGTATGTATAAAAAAGCATCAATATAATTAATTTACTTATAGAGTAAGTATAGATTAACAACCAATTTCAAACATGAGGCAACAATTCTAATTCGAACAAATAATTATTTGTATTGCGGCATTTAGTATTTCAGCGTTTAATTGTTTTATTTTCCTAAAACTATCTAACACACTAAATGTTGCCAACGAAATATGCTGCATAACATATTTTAATAGTTTCATAATCTGTTTTATTTTTAATATATTATTCACAATATAGTGTACAGCGGCGGGTCATTTCTCACATCTAGACGACACCTGCCCATTCATCCCCATGACAGACAGTCTTCGCATTTTCTCATATTTTATAGTACTACTATATTTGCATGCACATCGGCATCAAGCCATTCAACTTATTGTTCAGTTGGTTGCCAGGTTGCCAAAGCATTCGACATTGTTGTCATTTTATCACCACAAAAATGTCAAACAGCTCGAGCAAAATATTAGCAAATATGCCAAATATTTCTCAACTTGCCTCGTCGTTGCCGCCTCAATCTCCTCCCTCCCTCGCAGCACCACAATTTAACAATTGCTAGGTGCCAGAAAATCGAAAGTTGTGATACTCATACCTTTGACAAACTTTGTCTTTTCCCTCATTACTCGACATCCCTAGCTCTGAGGAGGGGCAGAACAAGCACAAATTGAGACGAACAATTGAAAGATGCGACGCAAAACAGCTTTATGGCTATTGCTGTTGCTGTTGTTGTTGTTGTTTGTAGTTGTCGTTGTTGCTGCCACAGTCAACTGCAATTGAACTGCACGGCAAATTGATTGCATTTTACGTTTCTTCGATGTCAGTTGCATTGCCAAACTCGAAAACAGAAGGCGCTGCGAAACGAAAAACAAAAGTGCGCGCGCGCTTCACAAAGAAATACAAATAAAACTATTGATTTTGAATTGTTTTTCCAACGATTTGTGCTGCTGGTGCTGCTCTGCTGCTGCTCTGCCCATATTTAAATGCCATTGGCCAGGAATGGCTGCGTCCAGTCCCGCAATCTGTCAGTTAGCCAGCCATCCAGCCAGCCAATGCTAAATAAATATATTAGTTTTAATGCCAAAATATTTTTTGGAACTATTTCTCTTCGTGCGGTTTTGCGTAGTTTGTGACGTCCAACCACTCGTGCGATTTTTGATATATCTATATATATTCTATGTAGCTGCGTGCGAGCTTATGTGAGGGAGTGATTGTGTGTGAGTGTGTGTGCGCGGGTAGCCACAATAATTATTGTAAAACTAAACAAAATTGTTCATTTCAAAATACAAATTCGCTACCAAACTGCGCATTTCATCTGTAATTTGCCAGCTTTGAATAAATACTTGAAAACAAACCAATTGAAAATTGACAATTGCGCAATTGCAGTGGATTTTCGAAAATTTACATAAACTAGCGCTACTTTAAAGTGTTTCTTCTAAAGCAAGGATTAAGCAATCGCTGTAAATAGGCAGACATGGCCATTTCGGACTTCCAGGTAAGAAATGTCGCAGCACTACAGTCAGATTTCGATGTTGTGGAAATCAGCATTGTGAGTTACAACTTGAATATGTGATAAAAATATTACTCGATTGTGGACTACCTACAATCAGATGTAATATATAAATTGTGAAAAATTGTTTTATTGTAAATACATATACAAAATTAAACAGCTTCGATGTAAGAAATCAGTGCTCAGAAATATATTCAGAGAACTGCGTCAACTTTTGGATCCACATTATTGGACAAATACAAATAATAGTTAATCATACACCTCAGTCTTAAAAGCATATTGAATTATTGTAATATATTATTAAAATAATATTTTATGCTACAAATATTTGCTATATTGAATTAAACGAAATAATTTGGGTAATCAAAATAGAATATATATAGAATTTGCAAATATTCATAAAGATCAGTTTTTGAGATCAATACTAATATATTTATTATTTTTATAAAAAATGCATACACATTTACTCCAAACACATTTATGTTTTCGGAAATATCAGCTATAAACTCTGTCTGTCTGTATCTTTAATATGTTTTTCAATAATCTACGAGTATTGTTTGCCTTCTTTTCGTAAGATTTGTATGAAAGGATGATATGACTTACATATATTTGAGTTGAGATACAAAACACCGTCAATCTTGAGCTAGAGCTGAAACACTTGCAGATACAGATGCAGAAGCTCAAAACATTTTCACTCAATCGAATGCCAAAATAAATGCAAGAAGTATCTGTTGCTCTAACTTTTTCGCATTCTTATGCATTTTATTTTAAAAATACATTTTATTATACATTATACAATGATAATAGAGCTTGGAATTTGTATTTAAAGTGGATATTAAAAAAAAAACACAAGAAAAATACTTTGGGCTTTATTGCTTTTATAGAAAACAAGTTGGCGCGCAAATTACTTATATTTGTTAGAAATAAACAAATAGTTGTTTAGCAGCAAAGTTTGGCATAAGAAGGTAAGGCAGATCACGTCCCGTCCCATTCCGTCTGTCTATTGCAATTGTTTTAACTTTCAATGGCAGACAAGTCTCAGTTTACTGATCGGAGCAACGATCGTCAATGTCTGCTGTTGTTATTCATTTTAAATCATAACCAAGGAATATATTTAAAACCAAATAATTGATTGATTGAATTTGATTTCATGGAAAGTACAATATTTGTTTATAGGCTGCAAAATCAAAGACTGACCCCCAAAAGTATGCTGCTCTTAATTTCAGATTTGTCATTTCTATAAAAATATTGCGAAAATAGAGGAAGACAGCTTAACATCTTCCAATAACAAGTAGTATGCATAATATTTACGCGTTCGTATAGAATTAAAATAAAACACGATTCAAATTCAATTCAGATCAATTCTTGCGCCTATTCTTTAAAAAAAAAAAGTTTTTCCTATTTATTTTCAATTACCATTATTGTTAAATTTTATTTAAAAATAATGTTGTCAAATCCCCAAATGAACGCTAATTTTGTTCCTCCTGGGCGGTTTGACTGTACAACGGGGAAAGGCAATTGAAGCGCCAATCTGATTGACAAATTAAAATGTTAATGCAGCCAAAGTTTTCGGGGCTAGTCAAACAACTAAGCTGCCTTCATTTGCTTAGTAAGAAAATTTTCCAAATTATATAAAAGTATGTATATATTTTTAAGGAAATTTCCAACAACAACAAGTAAAGCTGCAAACTTTGCCGCTTGTTTGTTTTTTGCTTTTCTTATTTTTTTTTTTTATTTTTTTTTTTTGTTCGCTTGCCACTTAGGTGTGAAAATCACTTGTCAATCTTTTATGTAAAGAAGTCGTTGGTGTTGCTGTGTTGTTGTTGTTGTTGTTACTGTTGCTGTCGTCGCTGTTGTCGTTTGCGTGTTCCTCTACTTCGTCTCGAGCTGCTTCTTCATCATCAACATCAACATCAGCTGCTTTGCCATCCACCTGCGTTGCTCGTAAAATTTTGTCGGCTGCTTCCGTTTTCTTTGCACTTAATTGTGTCTGCGTCGCAGTTGGCGGCGCTGCAGCAGCGATGGCGGCTGCTGTGCGTGTGTGGTTCAAGGTGAGTCGACGCGCCAACAACAACAACAACAACAACAGCAACAACTACAACAATAAGAAAGAAACGGGGAGGACGCATCTTTCAATCAGCGCCAGATCTTGCAAACTCGTTGCTGCTTGCCTGTTTGCCACTGTCAAGGACTTTTCTCGTTGCTCGTTGCCCGTGCCGTTGCCTTTTTCTTGAGCTGTTTATTTTGGTTTCGGGTTATTTTATACTTCGCATTTTTCACTTAATAAAATTGTTTTGATGCGCTAGCTGCTTTTTTTATACAATATGTTTAAAAATAAAAGCCGCCAGCTTATTGCCCATTCCTCTACTTTTGTTCACTTTTTACAGTGTTGTAAGCATTTCTTTTTCTTCCTTATTATACTTGTAGTACACGCTCCCTAAACGCAAAGAGTAAGAGTATATTAGGAAGTGTATAGTGAGTGTATAGAAGAGAAGATACGGGTAACTGGTAGAGATAACGAACAGAATGGACAGATACATTGATTAGTTCATAGGTTTATTTGAGTGAATAAATATCAAGATATTTTAAGGCACAACAATTTAGCCGGAATGTGGGGTTATTTCAAATCATATATCATCTCATTATATTTTACAGCTAACATAGTAAAAAACTGCCTTTCCACTACAAAGTAATGGTTTCTTCTTGATTTCGATATCTGACCAACTTTTGGGATTAAATGATTTTTGTGATTCCAATTTCACCAAAAAAATTAATTTCATACTTTGAAAAATCAGGAACAATCAGCACTCAAATAAATTTTTAAATTAATTATTCATTAAATTCGGGGAGAGCATTTTACTTTATAGGCAAAGTCAAAAAAATATAATTTACGAAATTTAGATATATTATTTTTTAAGAAAAGTATAAATTCTCTAAACAAAGTTAACGTTTATTTGTTCCTTATAAAGTATATCCGAATTGTTAAGTTACAGTTTTAAACTTAAACCTTAGAGAATACGTGCAGTAAGGTGCGCTTCTTTTTCCTTTTCCCATTTGCTTTTTTGTTAACATTTCTATCGACTTCGTCACACTTCTTATCGCGACAGTGGGCTGTTGCTTTGTTGCTTTGTTGTTGAGGTTTATTAGCAATTCTGCTGAGCAGTTTTGGGCTTCCTTTAAATACTTAGGTATACACTTTGTATATCTTTTGTGGCGCTTAAGCAGCTCAGGCATTCAGCATCGGCAACGTCCTAAACAATTCCATCATCTGTAGCAGCATCCTCTTCAACATCATCATCATCATCGTCATCAACATCATCATCATCATTGTCATCGACTTGGGGCATCATTTTGCTGAGATGGCAGTTGCTTAGCGCAGTCTTGCAAAAATTGTTTTGCTTTGCAGTTTTATGGCGTTTCACCTACTTTCCTCTCTCCCTCTCTCAGACCACCCCCCCCCCCCCTCTCTCTCTCTCTCTCCGCTTCGTACACACATATACGAGCACATATATGAGTAGCAGTTTTATGTCCACAACAACCACAACAACAAGTTAAGCAAATGGCTTCCTGGTTAAGCATCTTTTGCCTTTCGTCGTCTATGCTTTCAATTAATTTCGTTGCTCGCTCAACAGGCGATAGAGACAGAGACAAAGAGGGAGGTGAAGGGAGAGAGACGACGAGTCGGGCGAGGGGCTATATTGGGGCCTTTGGGGCTGCAATTTGGCACTTGCCTGGCTCTCTGTAAATTGCCATTGTTTTTCTTGTTGTTCCGCCTGTTGTTGCTTATTATTTATGAGTGAATTTCGCTTGCGCCGATTTGATTGACTTAAGCTTGTCGTCGTATGCCACACACATGCACACACGCACACACACACACACACACTCGCATGACATATGCAAATTAATGTATGAGTGTGTTTGTGTTATTTTTGTTTAATTAGTTGGCATTGCCATTCCCGTACGTGCCGTCTTCGGTTTGTTTATTTAGCTTAGCTAATGGACAGGCTTGTTGACTTGTGAGCGATTAGTTGAGGTGTTAATTTGTCTGATATGCATGTGTGTGTGAGTGTGTGTGCATGAGTGTGTGTGTGCTAATGTGTGTTTGGTCTTGTCAAATTGAAATGATGTGACAGCAGCTTGCATCAAGCCAAAAGGCTTAGATAACATTCTAGACGTACCTTTAACAACGTCGAGGAATATATTCTAAACTGAAATATATAACAGAGTAAATCAAATTTTCTTAAACTTTAGGATTATTAAAAAATAATTAAATTATAAAATAAATAAAAACAGTCGCTTTTAGCATTATGCAATAATTTAAAACATTTCATATCTGCTCTCAACTTTTGTAACTTTATTCAGGCATTAAACAAATTACTGTCTTAGAATATATATGTATGCATAACATTTCTTTAATTCCAATGCACCTTTAAATGTATTTAAAAGCAGGTGATCATTCTGATTCCTCATATTCCGAAGCATTTTTTACTCGAAATCCTTTTTTTCCTTTTATGAAGCGCTCTACTTTTTAGGAATTTTTTTTTAAGTTTGTCAAAATCTTTAACAATAAGCACATTAAAAACTCAATAACACATACTATTTTTAATGATTATTCAAAATCAATAACAATTCTAAAGTTGCGTGTACCTTTAATATTTTTTTAAATGTAAGAAAGATACTTTTGAAAATACTCCTCTTTCCTGTGCAGTTTAAAACTAGTATACCCTTTCACCCTTTGAGTACAGGGACTAAAGACTATTATTTAACTTATTTAAATAAAAAAGAAACATGATTTAAAAAACATCTCAAAACGAATCACAGTTGAGCCTGAGAGCTATAAATTTTCTGTTTCCAAACAAGAAATGGGATTATTCTTTTTGCAAAATGATGTAAAAGCATCTGCAAATACATTTTCTTCAATATTATTAATATTTTTTTTCATAATTTGTGGTATATATTTTTAAAAATCATTTGCAAATCGATTT